TAATTTATCTTTTCGTTGCCATGCCCGATACATGCCCCAAATATCATAAAGTGCATGAATGCCAACTTCTTCTGTAAGGTTAGTTCCCGCGATATAACTCCAACTATATGCGTCTAGGCAATTTTTAGTCTTAACTGGGACAAATGTACTAACCATCCAATCAATAGAAACTTGTATAATATTAAAATATTTATTGACACGAGAGTCATCATCTCCAAGAATTTCATGACATTCTGCCATTCTTAGAAATCCATTTGCCATCATTTGCTGTCGGTTCCAAGGCATTGGCGAATTTGCAGACAATTCACCAAGATCATCCCATGCAGAAGAGTTTGGATTATAAATTTTCGAATCATTTTGACGAATGAAATACTTTAAATAATAGGTATCAATCGTCTTATCCATTTCGGTTACGTATGTAAGCGCACGCTCTTTATATGTTGTACCATGCTTATAAGGATCATTGTCTGTAACATTTTCGTTCCAGAGACAAGGTGTTTTAAGGATATGGTAAGCAGTGTATGCTATATGCCCAACTGTATCAAGACCTTCGGAGCCAGCGTAACCAGAATTGCGTTCATTATCAGGTTTTGTGCACCAGACAAGTTCTCTTTGTCCTGTCCACATAATTCGTCCATTTACGGGATCATTTCGAAGTGACAAAAAAATATCCGAATAAGTTATCATTCTATCAAGTATTTGCGGGTTTTGCGTAATTTCATACACTAAACCTAGAGCTTCTACATCTTGACCAGCTTGCTTATCCGCTATTAGATTACCCAGCGCCGTTTTAGGTATTCTAGAAGGCTGTTCTAGAAAGCTAATGAATAAATTAATTTCGTTTTGGGTAATAAAACCATTTTCGATTTTCATATTATTATTACTAGGAAGTATCAATGGCGGTCTGGGTGGACATTTTTGTGCATATACAGTATAGTAAAATTCAGTTAAAATAAAAAATAATAAAATTGTTATACAATTCATTTTTCTGAGATTATAATTTTTGATATAATTCTCAAAATTTTTAAGTGATAAGTTTATTAAAAGAACGGAATAAAATTATTGATAGTTTAAACCGTAAATAAATATTAATTTGACATGGTAATCTTGCCTATACAATTATTCAGATCAATGACTAATGATTTAATGTTAAAGAAAATCAAGTTTAAGTTCGGCATACAATATTTGAAAACCAATATTTCAAAAAATTATTGGGTAAATTTGATATTATTCATTAATAGAATCGGGCAAACGTGAAGAATGATGTTTATCTGATTGTGAAATTGTGATTAACTTAATAAAAATTTTACCCGAAACGATCATTTGAATTTTTGATGTCGAGCTTTTAAAATTTCACCTGATTTTGTTAGCAATAATTAAAATAATTAGGATGAATTTTTATTTTTATTTATTTTTAAAGGATTAACCGTTTAGAGATTGCGTACTATAATTCCGATAATATGGTATAGGTGAGAACAGGAGGAAACGTCCAAATATAGATATGATTTTCATTCTCCGTTACACAGATCACTCATTGTATTGACCAGTCAAAATATCACTACGGGATTAGTCAACCAATCAAATTGCGAAATTTACAAAAAGACGAAACCATGGGATTCAAGGGGATTCAAAAAATATGTTGTAAAGCAAAGTGAGAGCTTCATGTTTGTTTAATTATTTTCAATATTCATAGAAAAGATAAGTCAAACGAGCCTTCCAAAAAAGTATTGTAAAATAATATAAAAAAAATTTTTATCAATTGTGTAACGATTTTGTGACGTATCAACGTTTCCTCCTGTTATAGGTGAGCAGATCATGGGATTACAGAAGATCAGTATAGTAGTATGACCGGATCGTATGGTACAGGCCGAAATTAAGAACCCTACCATACTGATCAGCTATAATTCCTAACCTAACGCTGATATACATAACACTTAATCAGTATGGTACGATTTTAAAATTCGGTCTGGATTATACCTCATACCATCTGATCGTGCCATACTGGTCTTCGTAATTCCGGCGGATCAGTATAGTATAGCTAAAATTAAATACTGATACTAACAGGGATCAACATAGTATAGATTCCCAAATTCGGTCTATTTTATACTAATTTGCTCACCTTTACTGTACTGATCTGCGTAATTTAATTTTCTTAACGGTGTTATTAATTTTGCAAAAGTCCGTATAATCTATATATGAGTATCGCTAAAAGAAAACCCGAAAATTTAAATATAAGTCAGATTTAAATTTTCGGGTTTTCTTTTAGCGACACTCATATAAGACACAATCTTCAATTCACAATTTGATTGGCTAGATATTTTAATTGCCCGGTCAACTTTTTTTTGCACGTGAGTCTATATTACCTACTGTATTGAACTATCACCAAACATTTTCGGTAACGTGACCAAATATGTGGCATAAACCAATAACATTTCAAGATCGGGTGAAAGACTAGTTTCTTTCCGAATCTAGTTTCGGGTAGGTTTCGTTTCGAGTACCACTCTAATTTCAACTACGAATTGAATAGTAGATAGGTTAATTTTTAACAACAGGTGGTTCAGGATTTTAGTCATGTAAGTTCATGGCCTCTGTAACGAATTCAGTGGTTAGTCCGTGATTTAATAGTAACAGGTTCGTGACTTCAATAGTTGATGTATTTGTAATTTATAACATATGTACTAATATTTTAATGATATTTGTCTGCTGTGTCAAAAATTTAACTATTTGATTAAATCTAATGTCGATTAAAACAATTTTATTCTATGCCTCCAGCATAGGTTATATGCTAGTCTTTTTGACTTTCACATTACACTTAACCTTAGATACAGCTCACATCGAGAAATCCTTTTGTATATAATTAGCCACTAACATCCAAACTAACCAGCTAATACCTACATTCATCGAAAACATATATGCTACAATATATACAACTCAATAAAACCTAGCCTTATAATAATTAAATATCGTTAAACAAACCCGTAATATTATAACGTTCGCTAGTGTAACGAATAAAATTTTCTTTTCTTACTTATTTTATTTTTTTTATATATATTAGTATAGTTTTTACTCTTATTATTATTATTATTATTATTATTATCAAAATTACTATATTTCGCCACTGGTGATCATCACCAGTGATTTACAGGTGTAACGTATAAATCAAAGTGATTTTTT